GGAAGGAAGGAAGGAAGGAAGAAAGAAAGAAAGAAGGAAGGAAGGAAGGAAAGAAAGGTGTCTCATTTAAATTCAGGCAATGAAGTTCATACTACGGAGTCCTGGGACACAGGTCCCCCAGTAACAAGGAAGGATAGAAGCCCACTGAGATGGTCAAATTCCATGCTGACTGCTTTCGCAATATTCTGTACTATCCCAATGCACTCCATGTACATATACACACTTAGTTTTGCTTTTTCAAGAGAAGGTCCACAAACTGCTAATAGCTGAGGATAACTGTGAACGTTCCGTTCCACCTGTCAACATGCTGGGATTACAGTAGTGAGCCAAAAACGACAGCAGTTAGCCAACAGGTCTAGCTTAAATCAGAACTTCGCCGAAGAGACTTGTTTCTTAGTCACAGGTCAAAGAAGAGCACCAGAAATGTACGTTTATAGTAATGAAATGATGCTTATGTTGCTGATCTTGGGACCTGACCACTGAGGAAAGTGATATATTGTTGTTAGCATTGTTGGTATGTGTTTGTGGGTGGTCTTGTGAGTTCGATGAGACCATCAAGCAAGGGAAGCCAAAGACAACCTTATGTGTCTGGTTTGAGACAGGGTTTCTTTGCTTTTCCACTATGTATGTGAGCCCAGCTGGCCCACAAGCTTCAAGTGGGTCTTCTGTCTCAACTTCCCATGTCACTGTAGGAGTGCTGGGATTATATATCCAGCTTTTACGTGGGTTATAGGGAGTTGAAGTTAGGGTCTCAAGCTTTTGCAGGTCAAGCACTTTTACGCACCCAGCCATCTCGTCAGCCTCAATTTGTTTTTGAGATATGGTAACACAGCCTGACCTGAAACTCATGGCAATCCATGGGAATTATAGGTGTGAAGCACTCTTCTGGCTTTATTCATTTGTCTTCATTGTCTTTCTGCATGTGTCTCTTTTGAAGTTGTGACTGTAGTTTGTTTTTCCCTTCAATGAGCAGTACTAGAGATGAAGAGTTGGAGGGAAAGGTTCTCTCTACAAAACCAGAAGAGATGCCATCTCAACACGTGTTCAAGTCACGTAGAAATATAAGAAATAAGAAAAAAACAGTCCTCTAAATGTTGGTGGGTGTTTTTGCAGAGGAGCTGGGTCCAGTTTTCAGCAGCTTTACGGCAGTTTACAAGGGTCCTTAACCCCAGCGTGGGGGACCTGGCATTCTTTTGGATTCTGTGGGCACCAGGCACAAATGCAATGAAATGGCTTCAGAAAGCTCAGAATAGCAAACAAATCAAGCAAAAATATGTGGCTTATCCCAGCCCCTCTTGAAGGTAAAGGAAAGCAGCTGGAAGAAAAACCAGTGTGGCAAGTTACAGGAGGGTATACACCACCAGTAGCCAGATCTGTGTCCAATGAAAATCTTCGGAGACTTATAATGCCTGAGTTATTGACTTAACATAAGGCCATGTAAGTGAAAAAGTGATTAAAAATGCATTGCAGCCTGTAAGATATCCAATCATGGATACTACATCATGTCTCAGTCTGCCAGCTTCTCTTAGAGGTATGGTTATGTAAACAGGATTTGTAGATTTGGAAGTGAACTGTGGATACAACATGGTCACATCATCTGGGTAAAGGCACCAGACACATAACTCATGAGACAGAACAATTTTTTTTTTTTAGCAATAGTCCATTTATTAGACTTTATAGAAGCAGGAGTCACAGAAGGAACTAACAATCCACATGGAAACTTCAGAATCTTTTATTTTTAGTATTTCTACTTATTAGATCCAGAGAGGCACATGAAGGCCACACACAGGAAGCTGAACCATGTTGGAGCAATTTTGATTTGAACTATTCTGATAGGTGTGGCTGTTGAGAGCATCTTATTTTTGCTTTGGACTACATGGGCAACTATATTCACATGCACATACACCCTCCCAAAACGTACATGAATAAACATTTAAAACTAAATATGAATAGCTGGAAAAGACTTTCTGCCGTATTATAGGTAGCTCCAGTTCTTACATTACGATCTTTGGTACATTGTCAGTTGATTCTGTGAAGGGTGAGATAGGTATCTTCTACGTGCGGATACCCAACAAGCTGAGCATCTCGTCAAAGATGCTGTGTGTCTCGAACATAGTTTTGGCACCTGTCAAGGATCCAAAGGCTATAGCTGTGTGCTTCACTGTAGGTCTATCCTACTATTCTACAAGCCTGACTCTGTGGCAATACCATGTTGATTTTGTGGTACAACTTGTTCATTTATTCATTTGAAGCTGAAAGTCATGTAGGTCAATCTGGTCTTCGTAGATCCCTGAGGCTTGAGAGAAAGGGCTTGATAAAGACATCTCGTCTAGGACCAAATGCTACCTGCTGTGTTAACCAGGCTGGCCACTGAGATGCACCTGCCTCTGCCTCCCAAGCGCTGGGATCAAAGTCATGCGCTACCGCCACCACCACACGACTTGGAGGACCATTTCTTATTTAACATCCCTTTGTGTTTCTTTCCTTTTTAGTGGTCCTGTCACCTCTTTTTTGGCTGCTAAACTTCTTCTCCTCTGATTCTTCACGTTTACCTGAAGAAACCTTCAAAACTGCCATCTTACCCCAGATTTCCCGCTGTAGTACTTTCGTCTTGATGTTAAGAATGTACAATGAATTGCCTAGTTAACTGTACATGAACTGAGCTTTAACACGTATCATTTCATGCTTCTCAAAAGACTAGAATAATGAGGTTTGCAGGAATTGGGGCTATGTATTAGACAGGGCCTAAGTTTAACTCTTCTATTTGATGATTCTCCCCAACATCCCCACAAAGTGGCACACTGCCTCGCATCCGCTGTGATCAGTACCTCGAAAGTTCTACAACAGTCTTTCATCTTCGGACAGCTCATTTAGAAATCCTTGTTTGTATGAAGCCACATACATTGTGGATGTTCTCAGCTGTAAGGAGCCCTTCCTTGGGTCATATTTTTTTTTCTGTAACATGTTCCTATCTTTGACTACTTATCACTGGTAATGATTTTGGAGTGTTCCCATGTGCCTCCAATTGGTCCATCAAAGTTTCTATTAGCGTTATTGCCTTGAAGCAAGGTAAACTCGGACTAGGTGAACTCTTCCGATTCCAGGAAGCTGAATGGTTTTCTTTCACCATTTCTCCTGCTACCAAACTTAGACAAAGTAGCCTTTGGCCGTCAATTCAGATCTTAATCTTTCTGGACTCCAAGTCTGGCTTCAAATGCCTTTGAAAGGTTCCTGCCGCCATCTGCTGGCTTATCCAGGCTGTGTATACCATTCATTTATTTCTTACTTTCATTTTCTTTTGTTGGCACAAGGTTTCTTCATTTTGCAATAGAGATCCTTCCATCCCATTGGAACCACTACGATGTCTGGATTAGTGAATTGTGGGTGCTTGGAAGGTCCCTAAACAAACAATTTTGTGTTCTTTGTTATTCACCTGATGCCTAAAGATAACTTAGAATTAAATTTGATTAATTTTGTTTCACTGCATCAACAAGACAATGTCTTCTTCGATTTTTCTAACATCTGGTGTATAATCTCTTTCAAGTGGCTATCCAGTGTTTTTCAGTGAATAAAACTGGACAGTTCCCTAAGTAAACTGTTTCTCTAGGGCAAGCACTATAGCACCGAGCTGTTCCTCACCCTTTGCTTTTGGCTTTTAGGAATTCTTTTCCATCCCTGTGAGTAAACTTCTTTACCGCATTTTTGGTTCAAGGTTTGGAGTCATCAGATTCCCGGAGTAAGTACAAAAATGGTAAAGATCCAAAACTCTGAGCTTAAGCAGTACAAATAGGAACCAAGGAGCTATTCTGTGAAGCAATCAATCCCTTTCCTTACTTCGAGCTCGCCAAATAATCCGTACGAACTTTTAGTCTCCAAGCTGAGGAGTGATACAAGGCAAGTAATCCGTGGGAACTTTTAGTCTCCAGGATGAGGAGTGGTACAAGGTGGGATGTCCAAGTATATGATATATTGAAAATATGCATATACACGGTGTGTGACCGCATGTACATTATATAAATGCTTATGTGTCTTACCATAAATGACAAAAATAGAGGCTAATCCTTCAATATTACATAAAATCATGAAAAATTGGTTTTTCTGTTATAAATTTTGGTCCCAGCGTATTCTTTACTTTAATTATTACTTGTTAAGGATATAGTTTGACCTAAAGCACCAATAGGAAGCCAGAGAGTTACGTGTTTGTGGCCACTCCTCTTCTCTCTCTCCGCCTTTCAGCGCCTTGGGTCTGTTAAAACGTAGCAAGTTGCCTGCTGCAGCCATTTTTCCTAGTTTCCGTGGATGTGAGGCACTTTAGTGGTCTCTCTCCATATAACGGGGTCCCTGGGAACATTTTTAGTTCCCCTACCACCATGCCTTATGGTGTCTTTAAGAAAATATATCAAGATTTTTATGTTCTGGTAGGCTTTTTCTGACAAGTCCTCCTTATTTTTGGATATCTGTAATATTTTTAGACAGTTTTTCATTTTTAATGAATATTTCTTTGTCATACAATTTGGTTGACATGTCTGTTTGGTGGACTTACCTTTCTTTCATTCCATTTCTATATTTTTGCCCATCGGGGCCACGGATACCTGTGTGTCCTCCTTCTCTTTCCTCTCACTCCATGCCCAACGGGGCTGGGGAACTCGCCTGCCTTCTAATTCTTTCTGTTCTTTTCTCTCTCTCTCCTCCTCCTCCTCTTCTTTTTATTCTTATAAACTTGCCCATCCGGGCTGTGGATACCTGCTTTTATTATTTTTTTTTTCCTTAGCCCATCGGGGCCGTGGATACCTGCTTTTTACATAACCCCTATCTCTTGGTCCATCGGGACCTCGGATACCTGCGTTTAGTCTTTTTCCTTGCCCATCGGGACCTCGGATACCTGCGTTTAGTCTTTTTCCTTGCCCATCGGGGCCTCGGATACCTGCTTAATTTTTTTTTTCTTTTCTTTTTGCCCATCGGGGCTGTGGATACCTGCTTCAGTTTTTTCCATTGCCCAACGGGGCATTTGGTGGATGGACGTATGTTGGTTTTGTGAGTTATTGCACTGTCTGGAATATCCATACCTCTCTGCTTTCCGTCTTACTGTTGCTGATCGTTTGGTGGTGTGTGAGTGAACCTATGGCTTAGAAAAATGACTTTGCGCTTAAGCTGAGTGGGTGTTCAGGGCGTGGAGGGTTTTGTGAGTTACTGCGCTATCTGGAATATCCATACCTCTCTGTTTTCCGTCTTGCTGCTACTGATGCTGATCGTTTGGTGGTGTGTGAACGAACCTATGGCTTAGAAAAATGACTCTGCGCTTAAGCTGAGTGGGTGTTCAGGGCGTGGAGAGCCCGTGTCCGCCATCTTACAGTTGCTGCGTGACATGGCCATTCCCGAGCCAATTACGGCAAGAATTAGGGAGTCGAGGTGGACAGAGTGCTGGACAGAGGCAAGGATGTGTGCTGCACCAGCTAAGGGCTTGATATGTGCGGGTTTGGACTTGATTTGTGGGGCTTTTTAGTAATAATCACGGTAACCGGAAGTAGAAAACCACGGCGCGCTCTCGTTTGCGTGTCACGGTGTATGTAAGGTGAAAGAAGCGGAGGACTTCGTGTTCGTGAGTGGTGTTAGGTGAAAGAAGCAGCGGAGGACTCCGTGTTCGTGTGTGGTGTTAGGTGAAAGGACCAGGACTTGGAGATAGGGCTCGAAATGGGCATTTCGATATTCCTGGGGGGGTCTGCCCGGCTCCAGGGCGTGCTTGTTAAGGTCCGCAACATGGCGGCCCGGGCACTGTACTCGACAGCCCAATCTTTAGCCTAACATGGAGCATGGCGGAAGGGCATTTAGGTTATACAAGAGAAGATGGCGGATTGAGCTCTTGCTGCAGTATAACGCAGCGGGCTTTTTTTTTTCAGGTGGCAACTTGGTGGCTGAGTTAGCCTAGGGGACAATGTAGCACATGCTCTTGAGCGTCAAGATGGCGGTGTGTGTCACATGATCAACCCTCGCGGGCATTTTTTTTAGTACAGCTTGGCGGGCTTTGTCCAGGCGTGGCAGCCTTTGTCCAGGCTTGCGGGCTTTGGCCAGGCTTGCGGGCTTTGGCCAAGGTGAACTTGGTGCATTAAGATGGCCAGTGGTTGGTTCTACCTTGTGCCACTCGAAGCCTAATTAATTGGAAGTGTTGGTTGCCTCTTGACTTAACTAGTCAAAAGTGGGTACTACTACGTGGTGTAGAGGATGGAAGTAGTCCGTGACGAGTCACTGTCCTGCTTGAGTTACCTTGGCACCTCACGTCTGTCTTTAGTCATCGTCATTTGAAGTGTCTACCCGGGTGCGAGAGCACATGCTCGTACTTCTAACATTTGAGGTGTTGAATGATGATCCAATCTGAGACTTGAGGCCGGAGGGAGGTTCCTGAGGTTGAGGTCGATGTGGGTTGTACATTGAAAACCTCACCTATAAAAGGAAGAGAATCAGTGATGAGGTCAGGTTAAAGCATCTCTCCGAGGATAGTGCCTAAGGTGACTTAAGACAGTCGACCCTCCTATTTGCCTAAGATGGTCTTTTGCATTGCGCTATATAAGGCGGTGCAAAGCTAAGCCTCACCCCATTCCTTTGTATTGGTTCCGCTTGTATTGGTTCCCCGGCTTAAGAACTGTCTACTCACTCCCCGGCCTCTTATTGAGCCAGCACTGCGATCTGAAGCCGTTCTCCAGGTCTGCGATCTGAAGCCGTTCTCCAGGTCTGTGATTTTAAGCCGTTTTCCAGGCCTGCTGTGGGCAGAGGGGTGACCCTGGCCAGAGTCATAATGGACTACAAATAAATCACTGGCCAAGACGTGGAATCCTACCTTCCTCCAGAGGATCATCTACCCTATGGCTAATGCTAGGGGTAAATTTTGATTTACGTGAATGTTTTGGATGTCAGCAATAAGTCTGGATAGTGCGGTTTGCTAGTGCTTGAATTTAAAGTTGGAGTGATTATTACAGAAATGTATTTAGAAGCTTTGTTTACTTGGAGAGTTCATTTTAATTACTTTTAATGAGTTTTCACTCAGAATTCTTAAAGTTTTTAGTTTCTTCTAAATTCATTAACTTTTTTGGCAGATGATACTCAAATTATTCGGCACTTAAATTTACTTTCTTTCATAATGACCTATTGAACTACTCTTAAAATTCTTAAGAGTCGCTGGGCGGTGGCGGCGCACGCCTTTAATCCCAGCACTCGGGAGGCAGAGCCAGGCGGAACTCTGTGAGTTCGAGGCCAGCCTGGGCTACAGAGTGAGTTCCAGGAAAGGCGCAAAGTCACACAGAGAAACCCTGTCTCGAAAAACCAAAAAAAAAAAAATAAATAAAAATAAAATAAAAAAAATAAAAAATAAAAATCTTAAGAGTCTTATGACACAGATACTGTTAATGTAAAGTAAAGTTAATTTTGTGATTGGCTCTCAAAGGGAGTATTTGAAGATCTACACCAGTCCAGGCTTTGCTTTTATTGCCATCTTTGATGCTACATTGACTAATGACTTGACTTATCAGGCAGGAGCCTTGAGTGGTCTGGTGTCCTCTATCAGACTACTTACTATTGGAATAGTAACGCCCACATTTGAACTTTCTATGGTTTCTTGCCTTTGTAGCATCCTTATATCCCCCCCGCAAACACTGATGTCCCTGCCACAGCCCCAGCCCCTGGCCTAGCCCCAACCCAGCCCCGCCCAAACCCACCCCAGCCCCACCCATGCCCATGCCCTTGCCCCTGCCCCTGCCCCAGCCCCAGGCCCAAGCCAATCCTACCCCAGCCCCAGGCCAGTCCTAGCCACAGCCCGGATTCTCTCAACCCCAGCCCCAGTCCCAAAACCCACCCTAGAGACATTCCAATCTTTATTGATTGAGTGCTAAAAATGCAGTGTCCATAACTCATCCTGGCAAACTGAGCTATCCTGTCTTTATCCCCTCCATGCTCATTGCCTGAGTCCCAACTTTCACTTAATGGACACAGTCCTTCCTACTGGTACACGGACTCAAAGTATCATAACAAAGAACTCTGGTCCCTCATGTTCATCGAGAAATGCCAACTGAACAAGAGTTTCAGTTCAGAGAATTACCATCAAGGCACCATCTCCTAAATCTCCTTTCTTTAAGGAAGGAAAAACCATTCTGTCATTGCTGCAGTCCTCACAGTCCCAACTTTCGGGGCAGTGCTCAGTAGCCTTTTCTCACACACTGTCTTGAGCACTCTTTGCACTGAGTAAATTCTTATTGAATATAATTTGTCCACTGGATTAGACCCCAGCTAGTCCAGCCCCATTTGCGTTCAGCAGAGGGGCAGACACAAGTCTGTTAACAGACAGTTAAGGTGCTCAGTCCCAGTTCTCAAGGCCATGAATATTAAGGGGCTACTATATCCCGCTGCATGGCATCATGGGTGCTATCACCCCACGTTATATCCTTTAAATTGATGGACATAAATTCATTTGTCCATGGTAGTGTGTACCAGTCCCATCAGCTACCCTTATTTCAGATTGTAGACGAAAACTCTGCACTGGGACAGTTTATGTGGATAATCCTGATGAGGAAGTGAACCTTTTCTCAAAGTCCTTGTACAAACTTTAGCTTTACGTTAAGAGGGTGCTTATTACCTAAAATAAAGCCTCTTATACAATTGTGCAAAGCTCTAGTTGCTCAAGTCTGTACTAACCAAGATCCCATACCCTCACACCCCAATGGGTGACAATGGGGGCAAGGGGGCAACCGACAAGGCCCCCTTCTTTGTTCTGGTCTTTTGGCTGTGCTTGGGATCAAACTAAGTCTTGCACGTGCTAGTAAAGCACTATGCCATGGAGCTACAGCTCCACCTTGTGGCTGTTTGAGGATAAGCATCTTTATGTAGCTCGGGGCTGGCACTTAGTTCTTCTGCTTCTCAGTCCCAATTACTGCAACTACAGGCATTGCCACCACTTCTGCCTGTCTTTATGTGCACATTTGCATTTGTCCCTCTTCCTGAGCATTGGATAAAGAAACCAAACTCAGTCATTTCTTTATTTAGCAAGACCTTTGAACTCAGAGTCAATCTGTTCTGTTCTTAATTTCCAGGCTGGCCCAGAACTTACTTATATAACCCAGGCTGGCCTTGAGCTCAGGATCAAGCCTTTACTTCACAAGTGCTGGCATAATTGGTGTCTACCACCATGGCCTGCAGTCTCTCAGGCTGTGATGTGCATACTTCATTTTGCTGTAGTAGTTAGTATGCACTGGGTAAAGACCTTAACCATTCATTTGTATTGCGGCAGGAGGTTAACTAGTATGTAATTAAGATCCTTAACAAGGTATACGTGCACAGTGTTAATTGTCTCGAACATATTATGTCCACAGCCATGCCTTTTAGATCAGGACCCCTGTACATACCAAAACAAAGAGGCTCACTAACACTATAGTCTCTTTCCTGAAACTATAGAAATGATTGCAATATTGCCAATGGCCCTTCACTTAATGGAACTATGTGCTGTTCACTTAATGCTTTCTCAACCTGCTAATGTACATAATGGCAATTTCAGAAGGATTAGTTTTACTCTTACTTTGAAGTACAGCAGTGGTGTTGACCTATAAGGTCCTATTTTGTGGCTTGCTAATAATGTCTGATTGTATTTGTCCTTTTCTGTTTGCTACAGAAGGAAATCATTCCCCACCCTTATGCCTTTCCCTTTCATCAGGGAATGCACATTGCCAAAGATCCTTATGTCTGAACAGTCAAAGTATAAAACTATAATGGCCACAATCATGCACCTTGAATATTAGTGGGCCATAAATGGCACATGACTCATTCCACTGAATACTTCTCAGACTACTCTCGGACCCTTTTGCAGTACAGCAAGGGTCACTAATCTCTTGACTTCTCCATCTTCCTGGACACTGGATAAGGATATCCTCTCCTTTCCACTGCCTTTGATTCCCAGAAGTGTCCATTACTTTAAGATCTTAATATTTTATAAAGGGTGTGGCTTTAATTAACCACACTATGTCCCTTGAACATTAATGTACTTAATAGGGACATGATTCGTTCATTTTAATAAAAATATTTGGACAGTTATCCACAACCTTATTACTTTGAGGACCTTTGTATCTCTTTTGCACTACTGCAAGGGATACTGTTTTTCCCAAGGTCCCTGATAGTGGACCATTAATACAGTGGAAATTATCTTTTGTCTTTGTCAGTAGACAAAGTTATACTCTTTCATTTGCAGTATGGCAGGGTATGCTGATCAACCAAGGCTGCCTTCTTTTGGACTGTTAGTATGCATTGTATGTTTTATGTATGAATATGCATTTCCTCCTGCTCTGTGCACTAGAAAAGGATCCCACTCACTTCCTTATCACCTTCAGCGGGAAGTGGAAAGTTCACATGCACAGTGTCTAAGCACTTCTTGTATCAGAAACCTTGTACCCTCTTCCTCCGCTTTAAAGCAGAAAGAGGTTTTTACACTGTGCCGTTCATTTGGACTTCAATGTGCATTAATGCAGTTGTCCATCCTTACCTTTGGAGTAGGATTTACATCCTTATACTCCTTGACATCAGAGGCATGTTAACTTTTTTAGCACTTCTCTTATTATATATATATTTATTAATATGTATACTTATACATATGGACTTGTGTGGCAGAAAAGGTTCCTAAGTTTCTACCTTTTGACTGGGGCTGCTGAGGAGTGGTTAATTGTTTATAACCTCAGCATCTGGATGATTACAATGCAACAATGTCAGTGGTCGAGTACTGATTACTAGTTGGACCTCTGTACTCTCTTTGCATACCATCAGGGATACTGACCAACTAAGCCCCCGAATTGTTAATGTGCATATTTGTAATTACAAATGCCTAGAATACTATGTTCTCATCCTCCCTTTGCATTACTGCAGGGGCTGCTGATCCATCTAAAATGTCTGGGACTGTTAATGAGCACAGTGATTATGATCAATGGCTTATTTGGGGACTATTAATAGGCACAATGGCAGCTCTTGGTGGTTTATTTTCTCCTCTCATTGGCATAGTAAAGTAAAATATTGCAGTATGTCAATGCTTTTTCCCCCCACAACGACCCAGATTTCCATCCCCTTTGCATTTCCAGTACACAAAATCCTAAATGGCCACGACCTCATACTTTACACAGTTTTCCCTCTGCCTGGCCCCTTGTCCATGGGATACTCTTATTATGACTGGCCTTCTCTTGACTTCAAGTCAGCAAGCCCAGAAGCCATCAGTTACCCGCTTCCTATGGCTGCAATGTTTCATTTGCACTCTCCTTGGTCCTACCCATCGAACAGAAACACTTCCACTGCATCATTCTGTCAACTGCCCAAGGCACCTTGTGTGTCGTTAATGAACACAGCATTGATTGAGACTACTTTGATGTGTTTATACACGTTAACTATCAAAAGCAGGCCAAAACTTGGTGGATGAACCTTCACTATTTAGCTTGCATTTCTTAATTACTCCAATTCCAATTGCATTCTAGGGCCAGGAATCATTCCATTCCTGCCTACCTTTATTAATGCTTTACTGGGTAAAAATATTCCAGGCAAGTTGCTCAGGGAGCTGAATTGCCACCTTTTATTTGGGGCGTTCCTTGTACAGTATCAAACTGAAAACTGTCTCCCAGAGAAGGAGGAGGAGCTAGCACTTTGTTTACAGTGTTCCTCCAGAAGCCAACTGCCTGCTTAAGAACCGCAAACTTGCTTCATTTTTGTGTGTTGCTACTGTTCGAGTGCCAACTGCCAGAAAAGTTCTTGATGGCTGATTCCTTAAGAAAGGCGTTTGGACGGCAAGGTGGAACGGACTGTGCGATCATTAGCTTTTCTGAAGTAAAAAGATCCATTTCTATTATATATCTGATGACCAGCGGTGTCTCTCATTTCCTGAGGGTGGCGAGTCTGTGGACAGATCACTCTAACTGTTGCTGTTCCAGTACCATCAAAGCAGTTGTAGACCGCAATGCTTAAGACCAGCATGTCTGTTTGGTCTGCACTACCAGTTTAAAAACAAAAATCAACCTTTGTGTGACCTTTAGTGTCATTATCTTCTAGGAAAATGACCAAACTCTCTAATCTTAAAATTTGGTCAGACATTGAACACCAGCCCCTACTTATTTTAAAACGGTGGCTGTGAATGGATGAAATGAGAGACGATGTTAAGTTGCCTTTGAAAATTCTAGGTCATCACATTTGATTAATTCACTATTATCTGCCATTAAATTCTGGCAATAATTTGAAGTAGCTTAAAAAAAAAAAAAAGAGCCACCCTAAAGTGGGAACTTTAAAATGATGGAGCCTGTTTCCCCCACTTACATGTTAAAACATATAGGCCAAGATCTCATGATTCTTTTGAGAGTATACTTCAAAGAGAGATCTGCCTAGTAAGAAGAGGGTTTTGCGGCCGCCGAGTATTTAAGCTTTTTGATTTTTGATTTTTAACTAGTGTGTGTGGCTGTGGCTGTGTGTGTGTGTGCTCACATGTGCACTCGAGTATCTGTACAAGCATTCACATGGTGACCAGAGAGCAACTAGTTTTTCTATCTTGTGGGTCCTGGCGATCAAACTCCGATCGTCAGGTTTGGCAGCACGTGCCTTTACCATCTGAACCATCTTGCCAGCCCACTGCTGAGCTTTTAATGTGACATTGCTGATGAAAACAGGCATCACAACAGCAGCAATTCTTCAAAGTTACTGAAGAAAAAAAAAAAGATACTATTTTTCTGAGAAGGCTATCAAGAAATCCACCCAGTTCGCGATCCAGCTTGAACTTCGGCTCTTCAGACAGCTACAAGTATAGACTAGCTGTTTCAGACTACAGTAAGTACTACTTTGTGGCTACTAAGCAATCTTTCCCATTCCACTTTTTCTCTTATGTGCCACCCACCGAAAAGTCAGAGGGACTCAGTTGCTAGCTCTTCTCAACTTGTGCACGATGCAGACGTATGCCAATGAAAGAGTAGAGTTAATATTGTGTACCCAACCCTATGCCAGGGTACACTGAAGTGAGAAACATAATTCCTTCCCCGAAATGCTTGTGTTGTTGAAGACTTAATGTAATATACACACACTTGAAACCATTTTAGGAAATGATGGCCAAGTGTTGTCTCGTGTAAATTATAAGTACTTTAGGAAGCCTACTGGGGTTGGAAGGTCATGACTTCTTAAAGAAGAAAGTGACTACTTTGCACCCTTGATCCAGATTTGAATGCCACCTGTTTCTACCTCTTGGAGGCAAGGAAAGATATTAAGAGTAAAGGACCCAGCCATTATGTTTGGCTATACGCCAGTGATGGCAAGGGATGGTCACCGAGTCCCAGAAGCTTGAGCTTGGGAATTAAGGGGATATAAATTTGATAATTTGGCTCTTTCAACCATTTTTACTGCATTTCTGTCCCAGAACAGATGACAATGGGTCATACAGATCAGAGGTAACTTTAGTTGAAGTTGTTTTCCCAAAAGGGCTATGGAGAAGAATAAGTTTCACGAGCAAACCTTGCTATGGTCTACCGTATGCTATAGTAGTATGCACCCTTCTCCTCCCCACATTTTCCTTTTTCTTTTTAAAATTAATTCATTCAGGGGGCTGGAGAGATGGCTCAGGGATAAGAGCATTGGCTGCTCTTCCAGCGATCCTGAGTTCAATTCCCAACAAACTATATGGTGGCTCACAACCATCTATATAGTGTTCTGGTGCCCTTTTGTGGCCTGCAAGCAGATATACAGGCGGAACTGCACACATAATAAGTAATTTTTTTTTTAGGTAAATACATATCGTTAGTGGCTGATTATTTCAATTCTTTTTTCTTTTTTCTTTTTCTTTATTAAGAAATTTTCTACTCACTCCTCATGCTATCCACAGACACCCTCCCTCCTCCCACCCCCAATAAATAATCTTTAAAAAAATTATTCATTCATCATTCATTAATTAATTTTGTTTTTGTTTCTTTGAGACAGGGTTTCTCCATGTAGCCTTGGTTGTCCTGGAGCTCTGTAGACCAGGCTAGCTTCAAACTCGAGATCCACCTGCCTCTGCTGCCCGGGCCTGCTGCCTGCCTCTGCCTCCCTAATGCTGGGAATAAAGGCGTGGGAATAAAGGCGTGCGCCACCACCTCTGGCGCTGCGCTGCCTTTGTAGTGCTGGGATTAAAGGCGTGTGCCCTCACTCCCACCCCTCCCCAAGTGTGTCAACGGTACTTTCAATTAAAAAAGCTAACACTTATTCCTGCTGTTGGACAAGGTCCAGCTGAAAAAACATCCTTCAACTTTTTACATTTGTTTTCTTCTCCCCCAGGGCATGCAAATGATTTTCCCACCATCCAAATGCTTCCCATAGTCTGGCTGACCAAGGGAGAATATAGTGGTATTGAATCCCGTGGGAAACAAGTATCGTGGCATTGTTTTTCAAATAGTTCAAATAAGCATTTCAAGTAATGCTTTTGAATGAACCTTCTTTTCAAAGAAGATCTAAAGAATGTAGTTAGAGCACTGACTCTAAAAACCAGCTGAAACTAGATTTCTGTCCCAACCTAGCATCCCTGGCCACGCCTATACCCAGGCTTGCTGAGGCTCCCAGAGCTCGCAGCCTGCCCCCTATGGACAGAAATAGAGGTTAGAACCGGTTTGAGTCCAGACAATAGCTCAGAGGAAGCTGCTGCTGCTGCTGCTGCTGCTGCTGCTATTCACGATCAAAAGCACCGTTACCAGTGGCCAGTCCCCTATTCAAAAGAGAGATCAGGTTGTGCGAGCAGGCAGCTCATTGATCGGGGCCAATTCCTTCCAAGCAACCTGGCAGTACGTGACCCCAATGGTCATCTCCTGGTAGAGATGTCCATCAGGAGGTGCTATGCCACAAAACTAAGGATCTGGAAGCCATATTTGGTAGAAAGTCGAGTCCCACCAAATTGTCCCCTGATCTAGCCCTCACTGTCAGCAATCATGGAATGGAAAGCCAGCCAGCCACTGTCTTCAGGCTGCCTGGAATACTACATTAAGAATGAGCTTTCTCCCAAGCTGTCCAATGGCTCGTTCCAGACTTGCAGGGATTTGTAAACAAAGACCCTGGTAGTTCAGAAGGTGCTTATGAACCATACCTTCATTAAGGGGTGGGAAGTGGAAGCAGCGGATTCGGCCGGCTGATTGTACAAACCCCTGTGGTAGAAGCAGACCGGGCCTCCGCAGGAGCACTGCCCTGTATTTTAGCCTCTGCCCAGCCTGCATCCTGCCCTGCCAGTCTAGTGAGCCTGTGCTGTCTGCCCCTTGCCCTTAGTCCACCGGCTCACTCCTAGGGAAGATGGCTATATTGGTGTAGTTTATCAGGGAACTTTGTTACTTAAGTTTAAACAAAACGTAATGAGAAAGCCCATTAAAACAAACAAACAACAAAAAAAGAAATGAAAAAGGTCTTTGAAATGTAAACATGTTTCTCAATTTCAAAGACTTTTCTCTTCACAACTCTTAGATCGTGGGGGATTCATAAGAACATACCTACAACTCCTCAGTTCTTACCATCCCGACTCAAGAAACACAAGTCTGTGCATATGCATATTGTATTGCTACGAATCAAATTACCTTTTGGTATCAGGGTATAACTATCATTGGAATTTGTTTTCCAGGGATGAATTGGAGTTGGTTTTGTGCTCTGACTGAAGGATGGCCTGGTTTTAGAGGGATGAATTCCAGACAGCATCCAAAGGTGAGTATTGAGTTGGAGTTGATAACTTGGTTGACTGAGATAATCTCTGCCTTTTAAGGATCCAATACGTCAGGCTCTAATTCCTAGACATTTTGTCTTCTTTCACCGTTTGGGTTTTTCTCAAGAGTTTTTGTCATCTAATGAAAGCCTTGTCTTTCTTCACAGGGACAATCCCAGCATGAGACTCTAGGATTGCCAGCAGCTGATACAGGCTTCATTCAAATTCAGATCTTTCCTTTTGAGACTCCGGACAAGAATAGCTAATCTGAGCAAATAACTTGCAGGCCACATGGAGAAAAAGGTACTTTGGAGAGTTCCTATTCTTGGGTTTCTGACTTTTTTTTTTTTTTTTTTTTTTTTTTGGTTTTTCGAGACAGGGTTTCTCTGTGTAGCTTTGTGCCTTTCCTGGAACTCACTTGATAGCCCAGGCTGCCAGGCTGGCCTCGAACTCACAGAGATCCGCCTGCCTCTGCCTCCTGAATGTTGGGATTAAAGGCGTGCGCCACCACCGACCAACCTCTGTCTGGTTTTAAGACCTCTTTCTTGTGAAAGCAGAAGCGGCAATCCCTACACCATTTTCTCCTTGCATATGAGCGCACATTTCCAACGTCTCCCATGTACTTGGTCTGTCTCCGTTATTCTGAGACGGGCTCCACTGAGGTGGTGAGGGCAGTAAGCATATGTGCTCTCCCTTTCGTCAGAGAAGGAGAGAGGCAAGTCAGTACAGCACACCTCCTCTCATGCAGAGGCAGTTAGCCAGTGAAGAAGACACTTGCCTCGAAATCGTTCCCACCATTCTAAGGCAAAACTGAATCTCTAACAGTTGTTTGGAAAAGCCTAAGAGACAGAGCACCAGAGGAAGCGTGCCTGCCTCTGAAGGCGAGCTCCTGGTCTTTTGGATTTGATAGAGTAGATGTAGCTGTTATCACAAATGACATTTTCTAAGCCTGTCACAATTCTGGTTTCTCTGAATATCCTCCAACTCTGGAGGTGCGATGCTACACCAGTTGCTAGAGATGCACCACAAGGATTGAGCAAAACACAATTCTATTCATTTCGGCGGTGTTCCAGCACAGTGTGACTTAAAGCACAAACTAAAAGAGAGAGATGCCCCACAACCAGGTGACAGGCACTTTGATTGACGTGGATCGCTCAGTTTTATTTTTTTTTTTTTTGGTTTTTCGAGACAGGGTTTCTCTGTGTAGCTTTGCGCCTTTCCTGGAGCTCACTTGGTAGCCCAGGCTGGCCTCGAACTCACAGAGATCCGCCTGCCTCTGCCTCCCGAGTGCTGGGATTAAAGGCGTGCGCCACCAACGCCCGGCGGTCGCTCAGTTTTAAAAGAACACTTCTCAGAGGAGTCAGAGGCAACATGACCGAGAATTCCTTTTTTTTTTTTTTAATCAAACTTTGGGGAGTCTGATGCCAGGCTGTTTATTACCAACAAATTTAAACACAGTACCATTTTGGGGAAAGGTGCCCTGGTGTAATACAGTCCCTGGTGCACAGGAAAGCATAATTGTATCAAAAGTCAACTCAGGGTCCATGTCATTTCCTCCAAGAAGATGCCCTCTAAAGGTAGGCTACCTCTACAGCTTAGTGGCCTAGGGAAGCCTGGACTTCGTAGTTGCTACTTGGCTGAACTCAGTAAAGCCCGAACATGGGCACAAAAAAATTACATGAAGCAGCAGAGGACAACAGAAGGGATGGGGTGAGGGCAAGTGTGGGAACCCAGCTGGTTGACTGGCTCCCACATTTTACAACGAGGTACTCGTAAGGAGAGAGGAATAGAGATATTAGACAGAAGAATAGAAGGGAGAGAAACAGACAGAAACACAGGATAGCCTCCGGAGGGCCTGGATCATTATCCACTGGCCCTTTCTGTCTCTTCTAAAGTGCTATTTATAGGAATGCCAAGAGGTGGAGCAAAAGACCTCTCCTAGCTCAGCCAAGTGTAGACCCTTCCAATCACCTTGTGACCATGCATGTGGTCAAGCCATTCTGCTGGGTGAAGCAAGCTCAGCTCTCACCAGGAAACATTTGTGGGCCTCTACAACTCCGCCTTCTTGATATAATAAAGGGCCCCTCTGGCCCCTCAGATAGACTGTGCCTGTCTTAGGTCATTCTTCTTGATTAATTTTACATACATACATTCAGGAAATTATCAAGAAGAAAATTGCCCATTTTGGGGGTACAGAGTTTAACTCAGCTCTGGCCCAAGTCCCTACTAAGTAAGAGCTTGCAAACGTCCACAGTGATCTCCATAGCTGCCACTCCTCCCAGTAAAGGAGAAGAGGATAATAAAGATGGGATATGTTTTTTGGAATGGGTCTAAGGTGACTACAGCAGTCTTAGCTGCACTAAGCCCTTTTCAAAACTCTCTTCTAAGAGATTTTCAATAAAATTTTCAAAAGACTATTTTGATTCCCAGCAGAAACAGTCATTTCAAACACTTTAAAATATCCACTCAAGTAAACAAAACCCATGCTAATTATAAAGACACTTTTAGCTGTTTAAGTAGCTCATCTGTACAAACTAACTCGATTGTGCAAGGCTTACTTGTTTCTAAACAGAAACTTTTAGGAAGACAGAAAAGCTCCCCTAATGATGACACCTTCGCTTAAGTATCTGAAGGTAAAAGAGTAATACAAACAATTTTAGTATGAATATCACTATACACTTTCTTTTTAGTAGTCGAAGGGGTTTATCTTACACTTAAGGGCACAGTTCATCATTGAAGGAAGTCAGGATAGGAACTCAAGGCAGGGACCTGAAGCAGAAACCATTCGGGCTTATCTTCTGGCTTTTTCTAGCTATTTTATACAGCCCAGGACCACCTACCCAGGGATGGTGCCACCTGCAGTGGGCTATACTCTCTTGTATCATTTACTAATCGAGATAATTCCTCATGGACATACCCAATGACCAAAAGATAAAAGACAGTTCCATAATTGAGGCTTCTCCTCCAGGCGACTCTAGGCTGTTTCAAGTTGACAGTTAAGAGCAACCAGGAAACTAGGCAAATTTCTGAGCTACATCCCCACCACCACCACCACCACCACCACCACCACCACCACCATCATCATCATTTTGTGATGTTGGGGATGGTATTCAGAATCTTGCACATGCTAGGCAGGTACCACTGAATGACACCCTCCACACCATTATTATTACTGTTACTATTTTGTGGTGCTGGCAATGGAAACTAGGGATGCTAGGCAAGCACTTTAGCACTAAGCCACCCCACCCCCCATCATCATCATATTGTGTTTAGAATGGAAGCGTGCTGAACATTCTAACAGTTGCTCTACCACCAACAAAGTCACCCTATGAGTATGCCCGGCCTCCATACTCTTTTTTAAAAACTTTTTTTAAATTCCGAATGCCGTTTATTGAAGGAGGGAAGAGGTCTTAAATACAGGCTTACAGCACAATGGGAGAACCCCGGAGGGCCGAAGTTCACTATCGACGTTTTGCAATCTTGCATCTAAGCTTTTAACACCCATTAAGCAGGATACACAGACAAGGAACTTCCCTTAAGCATTCAGGAGGGTGGAACCTGGGAGGGAATTAGCATAGGGAGGATACCTAGGTCAAGGTCAGCAAGCAAGGCAACAGCTACCCAAAAGGGGGGCCAGGGCCCTACAGGTCCCCCCTTTACTAATAAATGAGCTTCTGACTTAGGTTGGGTGGGATGTCAGCAGGTCACCTTACCCGCATGACGGAGAATTCTTACTAAACTCAGGGGATCTGGATGGAGTGTTTTCTAAGTGGCTTCATAGCCTACTTGGTTGATAAAGCTTGGCTCCTCCTTCCACTGGTTTCAACTCTAATTTTGTTAACCCCTTTCTCTCCAGTGTATTTGATGATAAATGTATAAGGGCTTAAACAATCTATAATCTAAAGGATTACATCATGGGTAGACAATAGAGAATTAAGACAAAAAAGAGCTCAGACGGGACAATTCTCATGTTCCTAAGTCAATACCATAAAGATCTACAAATCTGTAAGGGTCTACCCTCTGAGCCATACCACCAACCACTGCCAACGAAAAGTCTACATGATTAACACAAGTGCTGGATACTACACAATGCTTTCCCAATGTACTTGATTTCAAGAATTGTTTTTTTTCTTTCACCTCTTTTCCAGATTGTCCCCCAGAAGTATGGGTTTGTTGCTTTGCAGTGCTGGTGACCTATTCCCTTTGACGATCCCTAGGAGGAGATGGGGCATGAGGATCCTCCAGGGGAATAGCTCACCACCACTGGGCAACAGCCCTAACCCAGGGGGTTTTAGTGAGACACTTTGCTGAACCCAACAAGGAAGATAGAGTCAAAGACAGCCACCCTACATCAAAATAGGTAAGTTTGCTGAGACAGTGTAATAGATCATTTTAATTTTGATCTTGTTTTTCACTGTAGTCGGCCTTTTGAGTTTTGTTTAATTTTTTTTTTTAATGTATGAGTGCTCTGTCTGCATGTATACTTACATGCCACAAGAGGGCATCAGATCCTACTATAGATGGTTGTGAGCCACCATGTCCTGGCTGGGAATTGAACTCAGCACCTCTGCAAGAGCAGCCAGTGCTCTTAACCCCTAGGCCATTGCTCCAGCCCCTGTAGTCAGCCTTTTACTTGAGTTATGCTTTGTTTTGTTTTTAATTAATTTATTTTTTTTGATGTATGAGTGCTCTGTCTGCATGTACACGTACATGCCACAAGAGGGCATCAGATCCCATTATAAGTGGTTATATGCCACTATGTGGTTGCTGGGAATTGAACCCGAACCCTGACTGTGATAAATAATTTTAATTTTCATCTTGTTTTCCATAGTAGTCAGCCTTTTTAAAATGTATTTTTAATAACATTTATTCTTATTTAATGTACATTGGTGTTTTGCCTGCATGAATGTCTGTGTGAGGATGTCAGATCTTGGACAGTTGTTAGCTGCCATGTGGGGACAGGGAATTGAACCTAGGCCCTCTGGAAGAGCAGCCAGTGCTCTTAACCACTGGGCCATCTCTTCAGCCCCTGTAGTCAGCCTTTTATTTGAGTTATGCTTTGTTTTGTTTTTAATTAATTTATTTTTTGATGTATAAGTGCTCTGTCTGCATGTACACGTACATGCCACAAGAGGGCATCAGATCCCATTATAAGTGGTTATACGTCACTATGTGGTTGCTGGGAATTGAACTCAGCACCTCTGCAAGAGCAGCCAGTGCTCTTAACCACTGGGCCATCTCCCCAGCCTGACACTTGAGTTCTATGTATCATTTTCCTGTGTCTATTTTGATAAGAACAGCTTCCTGACTAACAGGGAAGCATCTTGGAGGAAGGCTGTGCAAGTGGATATGTAGCATAGACCTGCACAGTGAAATAGAGAACTGTAACTAAACTGTGCATGTGGTTCTTTCTTTCTTCTAGGAGAAAAGCTGCCACTGACTTCACGAGCAAGTCATTCTGTTTCATCTAGTTCTCAAAGCCTCCCTGGGAGCTCTGTAGGAGAACTTTACCAGCTGTTTACATACCTCAAGATTCATTGTGCTACCGACGAGACAGAATATACCGTAAGTAGCTTATCTTTTTACGCTAATATTAGTGGTGACGAATGCCTCTAAGTACAAATAGAAACCTGGCTGAAAATGACACAGAAGTATCTATTATCCGGCAGATAATACTCTCTCGTGCTTCCTTCCTGACATTCACACAGCTTCTTTTGTTCTTTGTAGCTCCATCTAGTAAATCATCACCCTTCCTCAAAGCAGCACAGGAAGCTGGGTCTTCGGAGGGATCACAAAATGTGAACACAGGAAAGGAAGTCAGCTTTACGACCCAAGGGTCAACATGGCTGCCTCTTAACACAACAGAATGAAGTAAGTTGCCCGAATTGCAGCCCTCGGAGGATTTGCACTTGCTGGAAGGTGGTGCTGGGTGGAGTGTGGGGGTCTAATGGGGTGATGTGAAGCTATCAGGCTTCCACATTATCAGCTGGGTTCGCAGCAGCAACTCCAGCTGTGGTCTGCTCACCAGCTGCACGGCAGAGGGATACATACAGCCTCTGGTTGTCTTTTGAGCTGGTGCTCTGCCCTTCTTAGAGGCTTAAATATTGGAGCGCCTTAAATAGTTTGCTTTCTTCTGAAAGAATTTGTTTTCTGCTCCATCTGTGAGAATTAAACAGTTAGGTTTCAAGATTTAGTGCAAAAAGAAATCTAAATCCTGAAGCAGCCATTATAATGGTGAAGGATGTAAATACCAAGCCTGTCTTCTTGACTAGATGGGGAAAGTGAAGCTGCCAATTAAAATATGCAGCCACCTTTGCCGTTTATGGAAGTCAGTAAATCCATGTAACAGAATGCTAAGAGGTGTTGATTCTGTGTTTAAATTTGCTACTCCTTAGTTGTACGACCTTTGCCAATTTCGTTTCTGGTGAGACTTGGCTAATCGTGAAGGTCAGGTGAAATATGAATGGAAAGTGCTTAATATATACAGTGCCTGGCAAGTGAAACGTATCCCCTGGACTTGCACAGTGAAGTCAGTTGGTACAACGTTGGTTCAGTGAATGCAAACCTTCAGTGGTGAGCAGGGCTAACGTGCTTGATTCCACGAGAAAAAAATGTACGCATACAAGCAGAAGAGCATCTGCCTTAGCACAGCAGGTGATTGTGATGGACTGTAGGGAGTAGTATAGGGAGACTGGTACACGAGTCACTTCCTGGACATTAATGGCACTTTCCCCCCTTCCCTGTTTCATGGTTTTCTTACCCTCTTCTTGTTGGGCTTTGCTTGCTTTCAATTGTAAGTGTGTATTGGGTTGTGTGTCTTCATTGTTTCATGCATCTATTTCTTCCTTGCTTTGTGTGTCCAATTCTTCTTCAGTGTATCCGTTTCTTCCTTGCTTTGTGTGTCCAATTCTTCATTCATGTACATCTATTTCTTCTTTGCTTTGTGTGTCTAATTCTTCTTCAGTGGATCTGTTTCTTCCTTGCTCTGTGTGTCTAATTCTTCTTCAGTGTATCTGTTCCTTCCTTGCTTTGTGTGTCTAATTCTTCTTTCATGTATATCTATTTCTTCCTCGCTTTGTGTGTCTAATTCTTCTTAGATGTTTCTGTTTCTTCCTTGCCTTGTACATCTTCCTTCCTTCTTCTTCCTTGCTTTGTATGTTTTCCTTCTTTCCTCTTCCTTGCTTTGTATGTCTTCCTTCCTTCTTTTGTATGTCTTCCTTCTTTGCTTGATGTCTATGTCTTCCTCAAGTGTCTCCTCCTCCTCCTCCTGTGTCTATGGTGTGTCTTCTTCAAGTGTCTCCTCCTCCTTCTGTGTCTATGGTGTGTCTTCCTCAAGTGTCTCCTCCTCCTTCTGTGTCTATGGTGTGTCTTCCTCAAGTATCTCTTCCTCCTCCTTCTGTGTCTATGATGTGTCTTCTTCAAGTGTCTCCTCCTTCTGTGTCTATGATGTGTCTTCTTCAAGTGTCTCCTCCTCCTTCT